ATGCACAGGTTTTTCTGGCAGCACCTTCTGTGGCTGTTTTKGAAAAAAGAAGAACCCTGTAAAGCATTACAAAAAGCATGCTCTTCCATACTCAAGTTTCATATCTGAAGAATCTCAGATGCTGCCAGGATTTCAACTCAGGCTAGCTGGCTGTCAGGGAAGACTGTCCCAAAGCAGCATAMGAGCTCAGCTCCCTGCAAATTCCATCCGCTGCTGTGAAGGTGCTTCCCAGAGAGGCTCTCGCAGCATCATCCCACGCAGAAGCCCACGGAGAATGCTGCTGCAATTACACCACATCCATGAGGAGGATGCACACAGCACTGTGAGAAGGTGCTGCAAGAGGTGCAGCACCYCTGTGTCCTCACCAGCAGAAGCTGTGGACTTAGAGAGCCCTGGTCATGGTCCTCCTGCACCAGTTCTCGAGGGATTATTGTATATACAAGGTCCCTTGTATTGTGCCATAACTTGGTGACCAAAGAAAGTATTATTTTTGTGGTTTACTYCTAATAAGCAGCTTCTGCATTTACAGCAAAAAGAGAGAATCTTATTTTTCTCTCCAAAAGAAACATACAAAAAAACCAAGTTGCTAATTTTATGATTTTTTTCATGTTTGCATTTTCATGTAGTTCTTTCAGCCCTTTCAGCTTTATAAAAACTGTGCAAGCTTGAGAGGAATTCAGATACATTTCTTTCTCATCCTGAAACTATCATTCCTCTTGTTACTCTCTGACAAATACAACTTTTGGTTTCTATACAGTTTCAATAAACAGTATAGTTTTTTAGCTTAAGGTATTCTAAAATATTAGTCAAAAATCTGAAGCCTCAATGTGCCACATTTTTATATGGTTTTCAGTTTAATTTCACAGGGCACAGGAAGGAGCAGAGATGGTATTTYCAACTCTTAACGCTACCATCTGAGCAATTTCCAAGCAAAGTAAACACTGATCCTTTTAACCATTATCAGAATCTACTAGCATGGATTTCTGTACTCACACAAAGTCTCAGAGAAGGTAAAAAGGCCCCAAACAAAATGCACWGGTCTACATTAGCAAATCTCAGAACAAGAACTTTACTTTGGGATGTAACATTTGACTTTCCAATACTGGGGCTGTGTTTTGCCAGCGTCTGACACACGACTAAAGCTTGAAAACCACTAACAAAGACTTCCTGAACTCTACAAATCACACCCCAAGCAGCTACAATCACCCTGTTATGTAAAAAACAAACAAAAGAATATTAGAATACTGGCCAGAGAAATGTACTTTTCTTACAGGCCACTGGAGGAAAAGCTATCCTCTCTTTTTTCAGGTAGGCCAYCACTAGCAAAAATCAAATTGATCGMATTAACACTTTACAGCACCAACTCCAGACTTAAAAAATTGAACTGGCACCTTGAATCTGTAGTAAACCGGCATTCTGCATCAAGACAGAGCTACCTTGAGAAAATCACCTACCAACACATTCACTGTGTTGGTACACACAACTTTTAAGAACAGCCTGCAATGTAGCATGCTGTGCGAAGTCCTGTGAAAGCAAGCTATGCAAGGAAAGGGGATCTACCTCAGAAAGGATCACAGGAGGAAGATARAAGCAACATCACAATTTAGACGTGTTATCTTCAGTAACTAACTGATGCTATCTGCTCTGGAACCTGTCCAGACTGCAAAACCATGTTTGAAAGATACATGTAAGCCCCTATTAGAAGAAATAGGCAGTAGCACTCTATTTGTGGAGATACATCCTCCTCCTCCAGCACTTTACTTAGCCTGCCCTTAAGGCTGGAGCTTGACAGGCAGTAAGAACAGGCCAGCTCTAAAGCCAAAATAAGCTCTGGCCCCTGGTTCTGCTTCGACTACCCAGTCCTGGACCCCTTTTTAGGGGGCAACAGAGCTGTTCAGTTCTTAACTCTGATTCACAATACATTAGCTGATCCACTCAGTAGTGGTCAGTTCTATCTTTAGGCAGAAATAGTTAAGCTAATATAAACCATTAATTTTAGTTATGATAATTTCTTCAGTCCAGTTCATTATACAACAAAAACACTACAGTGGCCCCATGAGGTGAGATGAAAGTGTCTGACGCTTGGACTGTTTCTTGCAGTAGTAGTGCTGCCATTTAAATATGGTGATTCACTGTTACTTCTGTCACAAGTAATGTCTTATTCCACTTCTTAGAGAGCTGTAATTCAAATAATGTCTGTATCTTCTATCTATTTTGAAGATAGGGTCAACATTACACCTGCTGAAGGTGAAAGAAAAAAACACTCTGGGAGCCATACCCTTCATTTTTCTTTTCATTATTACAAATACAAAGCACTTACTAGTACTCTAGTATCWCTCCAACAAAGAATTATCCAACTTTCAGACAGAACTTCCTATMCTACTTTGGACTCCAAAATACATTAACAAATTCCTTCAAGTTAAGAGAAAATCAGGTTGCGAAAATATGGCAGAGAAGCAGCAAATGCTTCGACTCTAGYTGTCAGTGAAGCAGAAAAATCAGTTATAAGCACAAAATGTAGAGCTACTGGCAAGAACCCTTTGTCAATACAGGTTGGATTTTTTTACAGCAGCCTCCTATCAATTATAACTGAAATGYTGAAAACAGGTACAGAGTAAAACAGGACAGAAGTCCAGTAGCTGTGGGGCTYAATGCTTGATAATATGCCCAGGTACTCAGTGCTACAGAGTTTCTTTACTGGCAGAACGCAAGTGAAGAGGTGGCAACTTGAGCAAATAGGGGTTGATACTTGGGCCCACATAGGAAATATATTTACAACTATGGCATAAGTGCATTTACCACCTATTTCTTGTGAAAACATGAGCATGTAAAATTATCTTTAGATTCAACATGCTGAATCAAACAAGCTTGTGTTGGTCTTTCTAACACTTTGATAAAATGTTCACAACACTTAAAATGTCTCTAACTACTGTTTTATCCCTTGGAGTAATGACATAACACAGGTTTAATTTCTTGAGCACAAGTCTAYACCAAGAAGTAGATTTAGCAACAATGAATTTAGAGATTGCACAGAGGCAAAACTATGCAGTGTAGTATATCCACCACATGAAACCAAATATAAAAGATGCAAAGCCACWCATGACTCCAAGTTTTATTACTACTTCCTAGACAATGCTCCTCCACCAATACTYAAGTGGAGTACACAGACTAGGCCATAAAAGTGGTTTGTTGTTTTTATTTTGGCATTACATCTTTAGGTACAAAGCTGTTTAACTGCAAGCAGTTAAGTATGAGCCAGTAATACAACACCCTTATGACTTCTACTTGCCCTGAAACTGAAAGCATCACAGAAGCCTAAAATCACAGAATGGTTGGGGTTRGAAGGGACTTTGAAGATCATCTGGCTCCAGCAGCCCTGYCACAGGCAGGGACACCTTCAACTAGACCATGTTCCATCCCATTTGCTCTTGAACACCTCCAGGAACATTTCAGGGCAACCTGTTCCAGTGCCTCACCACYCTTACCRCAAATAATTTCTTCCTAATACCTAATCTAAACCTACCCTCCTTAAGCTTAAGACCRTGCTCCCTTGTTCTATCASTACATGCCTTTSCGAAAAGTTCCTATCCAGCCTTCTTGAAAGCCCCCTTAAAGTACAAGAAGGCTATTGGAAGGAAGGAGAACTAATTTCCACCAAAGAAAAACTGAAAGTCAGTCATAACCAAAAAATATTACCAGAAATGAACCCCTAATTTCTAATTTACTGAAGCTTGCTCATTTCCACCAAAATGCATCCAACTTTAAAATATTGTTTCTCCAGAACTGCTTCCAGCAAAGCTACTGGAGAACTTCATGGTAAGAACTAATGGAAGACGCTACTTCTTTCATTTTATAGAAGAACCAATAAATTAAACTTGTCAGCACAGAAAACAGCTACTCAAATCATGCACTCTTGTCTGGATCAAGAGAAAAAGCAATTCTGGTCAAACCTCAGATGATCCTGATSAAGATCTTTGATTAGTTACCTCTGTCCCCTGTCACCTGGGGAGCAGCTCAGACCTGTGGCAGTGCCCTGCAGCTGTGGTGGCAGCATCCAGTGCCAGGCTGGTGTGTTTTAAGTGGCTTCTCATGAAGGGACATCTGCAAAAGCACTCAGGGCATCATGGGCAGAGCAAACAAAGTTGTCCCATTATTCTGACTGTTAACAGGCAGTAATAAATAGACAGCAAAAGCAGAATATTACAACACAAAGTATTTGTACAACCTGCCACCAGTTACTGATTAGCAATTTTAGAATTCCATTAGAAGAAACATAGAGAATGGTGCTCAGCTGTTTAAAAAGGGGAAAACTGATTAATGACTCTGTTGTATTTACATTCTTCACTCCCTAAAAAMAAGTAATTTAAAAACCCCAATGCARCAATGTAAGAAGACACCTGTCCATAGAAGTTGTCCATTTGTTGCAACTGAGATATAATTCCAAGCATGTTTCCTCTCAACCAACCCGGTTGGCGGAAAGCGTTCTGAGGGATGCTTGGTAACTGTAAAAAGAACATTTTTTCCTCTTTGATTTTCATATCTATAATTTTACTTCCATGTTACAACATCATGTCACTCCCTCAAATACAACACAGTTCTAGATCCACAGTTATTACTAAACCACTGTAAAGTCTCTTCTCTTGCATTACTCAATCCATCCARAAGTTCTGAAACAACATGAGTGGGTTTTTAAAGTTGTCTGAAATCAACTTTACCTTTATTATGTGTCCTTTATGGTCATATTTGTGCCATATCTATTTACCTTTTTCAATTAAAAAAACCCAGAAATTTGCAAACGATAAACTTCCATTGACCACAGATCTTTGCTACAACAAAACACCTCATTTCCTGAGTACACTCCATTACAGCATTAGTAGGAGCAAAACCATCTAATCAGAGATCATAACAACATAATTGCTCGAACTGAGCCTGGGCAGGTTGYGACTCTTGTTCCTCCTGGAACAGCTGCGTGGACCAGGCGAGGCAGAAGCGGCACTCACCTCGCTGCTTTCCCGGTCACAGCGCTGGCACAGCGGTGTTTTCGGCGCAGCGCTCTGCCATCCTGCCTCCAGCCACACCGCGACCACCGCCACACCGCTTCTCCAGCCTGCCAGTCACAAACACAGCCCGCAGACACACGCAGAAATCAGCTCCAGACCGATGAAAATAACTCTTTCAAGGGAGGAGTAACAGCGCTGTTCCGAGGTAAACGAAAAGCAGGAAGCTGATCTCAGCGGCGCGGGGAGCACGGACGGGGTGGAGCGGAGGCACGGAGCGAGGAAAAGTGGAGCAAAGACTCKCTGCTCGTAGCTTGGCTTTGGCAGTGAGAGCGAACGGCCCCGCATTACTGAAATACCAGCGGCGGGGCTGACACGGCCGGCAGCACCCCCCGGGCCGGGGCACAGGCCCGCGGCAGCCCCGCGCAGCGGCACTCGCCGCGCAGGTACCGGCCCTGCGCAAGCGGCCCCGACCGCCGCCCGCCCCCGGCCTCACCGCGGCCCTGGACGCCTCCCTGCTCGCCCTGCGTGCTCCCCCGCTCGCCACGGCCCGCCGGGAGCGCTGCCGTGGGCGCCGAGCCCGCCGTCACGCGTGAGCCGGTTTGAAAGGGCACGTCCTGCAGGGCGGACTCAACGCTCCGGCTCCGCAACTGCGGCGAACTCTGGCGTGCCGAAAGCAACAGATGATGGGACCTTCTCAAAGACTGAACTGCMGCGTCTAGTGCATAACTAACTTCCGATGAAGTTTAAAAGATAAAAGGGGGTGGGTTTCTTKAGGAATTCAGCTTCAAGAACTGAAAGGCTTTTCATGCTAAAATTCAAACTCCAAATTCAGACTCGAAGCAGGGTTTAACCTCCGCAACAGCATCTCCCACCCTGTAAGGACTCTCTAGCTCCGCAGGGCTCCCCTTGCCAAGGGAAGGCAGGCCARCCGAGCTTGCTCCCTTGCAGGAGCTGGCTCCCCAGGAAGGCTGGTTCTGGGACACGCTGCTATCCTGGCCYCTGCAAGAGTCGGGCTCTGCCTCTGCTGCCTGCCTGTCCCCCACATTCCTCAGGAGCAAGGCTGGTTTCTATCGCTGGGATAGAGTTACAAAACCCCACGAATATATAACGCTCTAAATAAACGTGAGCTTGGAAAACAAAACACAAAAAACCCAAAAAAACAAACCTACGAGGGAGGGTGGACTGACTACCACGAGTGCCATCAGTGTTTCAAAGTAATTAAAATCTGTAAGGGGAAAAAGCATGTCAGTAGATCTTCCTAACACTCGCACAGCYAGGATGTGATCTATACCTCTTAGTCAAAAGCAGACAATCTGCATGCTTTTAGGGCTTTTCTGAGACTGTGGAGGTAAGCAGGAACACTGCATGGCTTTTACAGTTGTCTTGTTCTCGTCCAGGTCTGAATGCTTTGCCTRATTAGCTCTGCATGGCAAGATGGAGAGTCTTTTGTACTGGTGGGTATAGAGCAGATACAGGGCCAAAATAAAATAGTAAATCAGCTTAAGTGAAGTTCTTACACTTTCAAAAATCCCATCTGATGTCCTCAGAGAGAAAAGGAAAACAGAGGCAAGGTGGCCCATCAATTTTTACCACTTCCTTCATATATTTTCTCTTGTCTGCTCAGAATAGGAACCTGTAGCATGTCTAAATCCCATTTGGAAGATTCCATTCCAGATTATGAAACCCAGCAACTTCTAAGAAAGCATTCAATGACTCCTTTGAAATTCATCATGTCTTGTTCACTTTTTGACACTGTTTCCAAGTATATCCTATACTCAGTCTGCTGCCAAACCTAGACTGAGCTAGAGACATAATCACACCTCTCCTGGCTTCTTTCCAGGGCCTGTGGCCTTCATGTCCAAGAGTGGACAGASAGGACCCATGGCTTTGTCTCAAGCCTTCCCAGGCTTTCACAGCCTGCCTTTGGTGCCTGCAGTTAGGCTGGATCCTCAGGCTGGAAGCTGAAGGTCACTGATGCAGACAAACATCCCTGCCTACAGCTCCGACCGAACGGATGCAAAGCCTCATTGCAGCAGGATCTTCAGGTGCTGCAGCAACATCACAAGAGGCACAAGGAGACTAAAGGCAGCCTAAATCTCAGCATGCAGGCTAGGCTAGCCAGAGTATGAGCAGCAACACACCTCATCCTATCCACCTTCATATCAATGCTGTTTCTGCACTCTAGTGTCCCTGCAGTTTGGCAGCTTTAACCCTTTTCAGTCATAAACTGAGACACTAGTTTCACTCCCAGGAGTACTTAATGATTATTTTTGAGGAAAACTGTTAGCACTGGAGAGATACACAGCTGCTTCCTTACTAGGGAAACATACAGCTTAAAGCCAGAACTATACCAAAACTGCAGATGTTATTAACAGACTCAGCTGAACAGATTTAATGAGTATTAAAATCAAGAAATCACAAAATCTGCATGGGATATTGCACTGGGGTGGTGTGTGGATCAACAACAGACCAGGTGAAAATACAGGAAAGAGCTCTTAAGAGTAAACAACTTAAGAGAAATGGCAAAGATACTCCCAAGACTTTTCTGATATAATTATTGTTACATCAGTGCCCTGGGCTTCTCTTCAGATTAAAACCAACACTTGCACAGTATCACTCACAGCTCTGGGAGTCCACAACACCTCAGATAAATGAGCTCACAAGCCCACCACCAATTCCAGGGTTATTTTGTGTATTTCAGAGAAGCRGTTTCCAGCACTGAGCACTGCTTTCCCTTGCTTCTCAATTAGATACTCAGTTTTGAAAAGCCACTTCTCAGTCCTCACCATTACCAGAGAGGTATGCATTGTTACAGTGCACAGTACAGCCTCCTTCCTTCCCTCTACTTCTTCAGTTCAAGTACACAGGTACAGCTGGGAGAGAGAATTTCACTACATACAGAAGAGCAATCTCTGGCACTCTTGACATGACAGACAAGGACAATTTATTCCAGCAACCTCGAAAGCAACAGAAGCACTTTGTTAAAAAAAAAAAAGTACTTTTAGTAGCTAATAAATATCATTGACCATTGTTATAAAGTTAACTAACAAGTCACTTAAGGCACATCTTCATCAACCAAGGCACATCTTCAGTCTATCTTGACTTGGTAACAAAATAAAACACTTTCTCACATCTTTGTAAGTAACTTGCTATTATTTATTTTGCAAATTACTAAAAAGAATTCTGAAAGACCCTCCTCTACCAGTCCATCTTTTACTATTAAAAGAATCTTAAGATGACAAGTCATGCAAAGAAAAAGTTGGAAAGACAGGCTGAAGTATTGGCATTGTTCTTAGCACAAAAATCTCCATTTCTTTAACCCTGCCTTTCTACACCAAAAACTTCCTTGAGCAACTACAGTAGTATCTGCTTGTACTTCAAATAATTCCTCTCTGCTTCTTTGTCTCTCCAAAGTTTCCTTGACTGAGGTAAAAAAAAAAGAACTAGTACATTTTAAAATCAAAGTTTACCATTACAGTAGGATTTCATGGCCAGGACTATGGAAGTCATAGTATACCACCACGCTTCTCAAAGAAAAACAGTTTGTGTTTAACACTACCAAACAGTTAGACTTCTGGCATTATCTTTGCTGACAGTGTTATTACCCTGTCAGGGGTCTCCAACTGCAGTACTGATACATGAGCAGCACAYGAGCAGTTTTTAACATTGCAGTCATTCCTTCCTACAGGTCTGCTAAAGGAACTAAGACTAGTCCATTGGTAGCCTTACAYTCATTTTTCAGGCATCTGTATCTACAGGACACTTTAAAAATGTTTTTAAAGGAATTTTTAAAAAATTGCAAACCCAGTATTTTAAATTGCGTCAGCTTTTTTTCTTGCACACAGATACATTTTTTTTTAAAGCCTGAACATGGTCAAAAGGGATCATCCTTTAGCTACTACCTACAAAAGTACCTCAGAAGAAGGCATAAGGAAGGAACTAGCAAGCACCTACAAGTGCGGGTAAAGCACTCTTGTGCTTTAAACTTATTTATACACTTACAAGTCCAGGCACTTTCAGTCAAGCAGTTACTGTTTTAAAACTAACTTGAAGTTTTGTATTGCTTAAACTACAGTTGTCAAAATAAATTTCTMTGTGACAATTTCTTACCTCTCATTCCCTATATTAACAGCAGGTGGAGATTAGGCACCAAACTGTCTCTTTATTCAATACTACCCAAGCCAGAGGCAGTTTGATCACTCAAATTTACTCACTCCAATCACTACATCTATCTTGTCCCAAACTGACGTGACAGAATGACTTCTCCTGGTTTATTGCTCTGGTACTTTATGGGCATTAAAATTACTTAGTAAGTGACCAAGATGGMGAAGATCTGGTCAAAGAAGATAGAAAGGGAAAAAGTAACACTGATTAATCTTGCATGGCTGAAGGTATTCTCCTGCTAAAGAGCAAAGAAATACAGCAGCAAACAATGAAATTGATGAAACAAACAAATATCTTGAGAGTATGYTTAAAACACTCCAAAACTTAACCTGGAAGTGACTATCAGTGAAGACATCCAAACAATCCTCCAATCAAATCTACAATTTCAGTCTACTGTTGTAACTGTCTCTCCTCYAAGTTCACACCAGAACTGTGCTCACATATACAAAGAGAGTGTTGCAGCAATGCTAATAAAGAAGCATCTCAACTGAAGCKCCACATTTTATTCCAATTCCATGAAGAAATACAATTTTAATTGCTAAATCTAAACAAAGTCACTATTCATCTCAAAATGGATGCAATCTCCCAATCCACTGCTTATATAACACTGCAATACCACAGTGTTATATATAAGACTATTCTTATAATATAAGACTAAACAAATACATCAATTCATACAACATTCCAGAAAACATCAACAATCTGTGTATTCAGAAATAGCAGAATCACCATTTTTATTATTCCTGGATCTCAGCACTTCTTAGAAGTTTTATCAAATATGTTCATATATGCACACATAYACACCAGTGCCCTCTGAGTATGCAGTATATTACCAGCACATTCCCATCACAGAAAGCCACTGCCCTGTTACCTGCTSMACACACCCACACACCACAAGCATCAGAAAAACTTCAGGTACAAACGTCATACCTCAATAATGCATGAAATACCCAAGCCAACAATCCTACCAACAAGCAGCAYGCAGTCCCTTCTTATCCCTCCCCCACACTATTATCCTGAGAACTTAAATCCCAGTTCTTCTCTGCTATAGGTGGAAGGTACACAGATACTACATACAGTGTGGCAGAATAAAATCCTATCACTGTTACCCCCTTTTTAAAATTAGCAGAACAAGTTACTGGCAAATTTACAGGTGCAGAAATTTACTTCCCGAAACGTAAAATCATGTATAACTTCTAACAAAAAAAGCCCCACACA